AGGACTTCGACCAGAGGCACAGGCATTTGAGCACGGGCATGAGTAGAAGCGAAGGATGAGATCATTCCCGTGTCCTCTTCGGGCCTCAGACCCCGACCCCCCATCCTCGATCCTGGAGGAGGTGGGGGAGAATCGAGCAGCAATCGTGGGTTGCCAAAGGAGCGGCGAAAAGAAACGGGGTCGTCTGCACCGACAATGACGCGTAAGTGGTCGGTGTGCCATCTCGCGCACGACCCGCTGCTGATCGTTGCTTCACTGCGGCGCTGGCCCAGGATTTCCCCAGCTTCCCCCGCCACTTTGCAGTTCCCGGGGCCCTCCGGTCGGCGTCGCCAAGACGTGCTGGCACGATGTGCGCATCACTCGGCTTCCCTGGGACGTGTGCACTTTTCCCCGGTGAGGGCCATCGAGGAGCCTTCTGGATCATCTGGCAAAGAAAGAAGCACGCAGGACCTTGAAACTAGGAGGGGAAAAAACACACAGACACAATTAATCATCGACTCCCAGGAAAATATGGGAAAATATGGGAAGTGGGGGGGAAGACAGAAACCCAGAAAATATGGGGAAATATGGGGAATATTTTCATTTGTGTGTATTTATTTGTGTGTCCCAGGGCCCCTTCAGAAACATGGACACGGACTGGACGTCCGAGCGACGGCGGGATCGGCCCAGCAGTGGCGACATTTGCGTCCCGAGGTCTTCTGGCAGCACCTCCGTGGCGGGCGCCTTCCGGCCATACACCGCTTGTTCGCACCACATTCGGGGGTGGACAGACCTCCTACCCTGACACGTCGATTGAGGAACTGGCCGTGTTCGGTTCGCGAGAGGGCGCCGCGGCCGCCATTTTTGCGGGTCCAGGTCCGTCGGTTTCGGCCCCAGGCCGTTTTCACTAAGGGGAGGTCTACACCTTAGGCGATGCTTAAGAAAACTTTCGTCTTCGGCCAGAGTCTCGATTATTCTTAATGTTTCAATGCGCACCCTAAGGTTTTAATATGACTTTTGGGTATTTATTCAAGTTCTGAGACTATGAATTTCTCAATCCATGATTTCTTAAGCATTTCGCAGGGTGTACTAAAGGGAGGTCTGTCCACCGCCGATGCACGTTTGGGTCGGGCGTGAGCCTCTCACAGGAGCTATATTCGGGCCGGGCGAAAGGGGGGGATTGGGAAAGGGGGGGGTACGCAAAACGACGCGAAGGAGAGGGAAAAGGGGAGGAAGGAGGAGGAGGAGGAGGAAGAGAAGGAGGAGGAGGAGGAGGAGGAGGAGGAGGGGAGGAGGAGGAGGAGGAGGAGGAGGAGGAGGAGGAGGAGGAGGAGGAGGAAGGGCGGTGGAAGCCGGCGGAGGTAGATCGAGGCCGCCTCCCCTGGCGGAAGCTGGCGGAAGGCTGTCAAACGACTCGAAGATCGGGACAAAATCGGATCGGGATAACTCGAAATCTCTGAGAATCGGCGGGTTTGGAGGATGTATTGGGCGCCGCGGCCGCTCAAGAGCGTTCTGGAACGCTCTGAGAGCGCTCCGGAACGCTCTGGATCGATTTATCCCGATCCTAGCCCTGTTTTAATTCGGAAAGGGGGGGTTGCGAAATCTGCTGCATGCAGCTGGTTTCGGGCCCACCGAGGAGCCCATTCCTCGATACGTGGCTCCCTCTGGCGCCGGGAGGCGCTGGAAAAATCAGCTACGTGAGCTGATTCTCTACCCTGCCCTTTGCTATCCCCCCCTTTCGCCCGGCCCGAGCTATCATTACAGGTTCGGATGTAGCTCTCCGAGCGCTACACCATAGCCTCAACAACAGCCCTAAAGGAAGGCTTCTGCGCCCACCCCCGTCCGCCTCTGCGGGGACGCACGGGCCAAACTCCCCCCCTCTAGAAAGTTCGAAACGAGCCTCCGCCTGCTGGGGCCTCCCTGGGGTGATCCATTCATGAAAATACGAATCTGATGAGAAGGACAGTGGATGCAGCCTGGTTTGGGCGATTCTGCTTAGGACTCCAAAAGCTGCCTGGTTAGGCCCCTGACTTGGCCTGGTTCGGCCCCGGTTTCGCTTGAGAGGTCCTCAACATTGTGCATGGTTTGGCCCTGATTTGGGCTAGTTTGGGTCCGCTTTCGCTTGAGACGTCCTCACGAGCTGCCTGGTTTGGCCCCGGCTTGGCCTGGTTTAGGCCCTGCTCCGCCTGAGACGTCCTCGCAGTGTGCTTGGCTTGGCTTTGAGGTGGCACGGTTTCGGGGCCTCCCGTGCGAGACGTCACCACAATGTGCGGTTGTGATTCGATGCGGCATTCTGCACGGAGAGAACTGGTCCCGGAAGTGGGCATGCGCCACGTGTCCTTCGACACTGAATGAGTACTTAACACGGGCCGTGGTGGGTGTGTAGAAACAAGCCTGATAGCACTGCGTGTATGAAGGCCCATGGTGGTCCACTTTTGACGCCACTGCGCCGAACAATGACTGGCGGAATGGGTGTGGCCCATTCCCAACGCGCAGTGAGTTGGCATGGATGCGCTTGGCGGCGCCATGAACAGATTTCCCGCGCCTGCAATACTCCAGATTTCGTAATAAAAGGGAGGGGGTCTGGACCCTCCAAGACAAGCCATTTCAGACCCCCCCCCCGTGGTAGAACCCTCCAAAACATCGTCCCCAGACCCCCCCATGCCCTCCAAGATAGCCTGGATGAGACCCCCCCGAAATGAGACCCCCCTCCCTTTATTACGAAATCTGGAGTACCCTTGCATCCTTGCCCTTCGGCCCATCCCTGGCCACTTTCGCTGGCCGTGCCCCCCTCGAGAAGCCTCGGAATGGCCTTCCAAGGCCCTTGCATCATTGTCGCGCATCCTTGTGATTCGGGTTGACTGTAAGGCCGCGGGTTGCGCGCTGACACCCCCCCTCAGCTGGCCTCAACAGGGCCACCAAGTAGCCCCAGCTGGCTTCCACAGTCTCCCGAGTAGTCCAGGGCGATCTCAACACTTCAAGCGCGCCCCAGGAGCGCCGCCTGCGGCGGCGCCAGGGTGTTGAGTCCGCCACGGACTATTCCGGGGGAGGAGGGAGGAGGGAGGAGGGAGGAGGGAGGAGGGAGGAGGGAGGAGGGAGGAGGGAGGAGGAGGAGGGAGGAGGGAGGAGGGAGGCGGGAGGCGGGAGGAGGGAGGAGGGAGGAGGGAGGAGGGACGCGGGAGGCGGGAGGCGCTTGTTGAGGCCAGCTGGGACTGCTCGGGGGCGGTGTCGAGGCCAGCGTGGACGACCCTGGAGGCTGTGCGTGCGCAACCGGACGCCTTACCACTCGTGGCAGAGGCGGCCGCGGGTGGCGCGCACGTAGACCTGCACCCGTCCCGCGTCCCAGGCGGCCATACGCCTTCCTGGCTGGACCAGGAAGGCAAATGCCCAGACATCCAGCGTCCCAGACCCCCTCGAGTAATGAAAAAATCATGACGGGAGGTTTTCCTTCGTTTTCGGCCTCCGGGGGCCCTCACCGGGCCTCGGGAGCGTCAAAAAACGACTCAGGCTGCAAAGCCGGTCATGGGGAATGGGTCGAGATCTCTGGGGGTCGACGTCATGAACAAATCATGACGTCGGGGTCTGGGGTCGTGGTTTTTCACGTCGTGGCTCCCTAGAGGTCTGGACCTCGTCTCCCGGGGCCGGCATTCCATCCCGAGCCGTGTCTTTTGGCGGCCCCGGGGCCCAGTGAAGGCCCGGGATGAGCAAGGGCCTTCCGACGTGATGTCTTTGCCACGAGAGGATGTCGCGGCACATGCGCCTCCGTTCGCTCACCGGCAGCACCCCTGGCACGTGCTCACAACCTCCCGGGAGAGCGGTTTTGGATTCCCGGGCGATAGCGGTTGATACCAGGGGCGGGGGAGGTGGGCGGGGGGGCCGGTAGCGTCACGTTTCGCGCCAGCGCCGTCTTAGAATGTCGAGGAGTAACCAACAACACCTTGGAGGTCAGCCGAATCGTGACGTTACTGGGGAGGGAGGCGGCCATCGCCAGTAACGGCCGCTATCTTGACAGATTAACGCTCTCTGCCAATTTGAGGATACCCTTGTGTCCTGTGTTTCGCCACGCAGGCTTTTTACATTCCTGTGGCAATGTGGGCGACGCAGAAACACGGGGTCGTCTGCGCCGACATTGGCGCCCAATGAAGATGCCCGCGTAAGCTCGCGCGTAAGCGCCCTCCTTTCCAATGTAGCGCGCCGCGCTGGAGGCCCGCGTAAGCCACCGCGTAAGGTCGCTACGTGATCTCTCGTAGAACTTGTTTTTGATCGTCGCTCATGTGGCCGTTGGAAGGATCAGCGCGTCTCTCTGGACGAGAACCCGCGCAAACGGCAGCTGGCGAGGTGGATGGGGCATGCGCGCGGTCGCAGTTTCCAGGGCTTGGGAGACCGTGGGCACGCGGAGCTGGAGGTCGCGCTAGACTTTGAGCACCACCGGCTGCGAGCGCTGGATGCATGGTGCGAGGAGCACCAGAGGTGGCCACGCGAGAAGGCAGAGGAAGACGCGGAGCGCAGGCCGCGTCCTCTCGCGTGTCCTCTCCGATCAACCTCGACTGAGCGCCTCTGCTCGCTCGCAGGCAGCGCCCCCTGGGCACGTGCGCGCCCCAGACCCCCCCTGACGTCATGATTTTTTTCCGCACCGCCGACCCCTCGAGGCCTGGACCATTTCCCCGGGGCCGGTTTTTCTAGTCCCCGGCCGTGTTTCGACAGCTCCGCGGCTGGCAAAGAAGGGCCCCCGGAGGCCGAAGCTGGCGACATGGGAGGAGGAGGAGGAGGAGGAGGGGGAGGAGGAGGAGGAGGAGGAGGAGGAGGAGGAGGAGGAGGAGGAGGAGGAGAGGGTAAGGCCTGGCCAGGAGCAGACCCGTGAGCACGCATAGTCCTCCTGGAGTGCAGGGATCGGACTGGCCGAGGCGGCGTGCGCGGAGGAGGAGAGGGTGGAGGAGGAGTCCGAAGTCCCGTCGTGATCTCTGCACGACGCGGCGGGGCCTCTGGGGCCCTCTCCCGTCAGCCCCCCCCCCCGCCTGCAGGACGCGCTGCTGCAGGGCGCGCTGCTCGAGGCCCTCTGGGACTTCGGCGGCGGGGCAGCCGCGCTGCCAAGGCCCGGCCGCCGCCGCGGGTGCCCCGCCGCTCCTCGTCTTGCCCTGCCCTTTTGGTGCGCGCGGTGGCTGCCCTGAGATCGGGCACGTCCCCCACACAGGCGGATTTTGGGTGAAGGATTAAAAGTACCGCCAATCTAGCCAAAAGGTGCTCCAAACATTGCCCCCATATTTTTTCAAGACCATGTTTGATTATTCCTTCGGCGAAGGGACAGGCCCGACTTGAGGCTATCCAGACCCCAGACCCCCGACGCAATGATCAGAGCCGGAGGGCAGGTTCCCGGAGGAGGAACAAAAAGGTGCCCATAATACCTCTACCCCCTCGCCCGCTTTTTTTTTTGGGGGGGGGGCCTCCTGGGAGGCCCTCGAGGCCCTCGTCGCCGCTACCGCATTCGCCCCGAAATCCTGGTCAAAACGCGCCTCAGGAGGGGTCCAGGGAGTAGCGGTATCGGTACCTTTGGTTTCCTCAGATTCGGGCAGCCAGGATTGAAAACCGCAGGACGCTCCCCGGGAGCTCAGCCGCCCAACAGCACGTTGTTTATTTCAGTGTTTGTTGCCACCCTGCGTCTGGAATCAAGACGAGGCTCTGTAAGCGCAGCTTGCTAAATGGTCTCGTTGATGTGGCAATTAGTTTTTTCACGGGGTCTCGCATGTGCCACCTACGTTTGGGGGTATTTTTAGTGCAGAGTTCTGGTGGCGGAAGGGTCGTTGTGATTGGTCATTGTTGCCATGGCCCCGTCCGGCCCAGAGGTGGATGGGCAAATTTGGAGTGCGCTCTTGTGAGTTACTCTTCCTGTTGCGTGTTGGGCCAGCTCGCGCATATACATTTAAACGCGTACGTATATCTTTCTTTAAGTCATCGCGCGCCCTTCCAGGCAGATTGTCGCGTAGTATGGATGCGTCCGTGGATGTCTCTGCGGAACAGCCGCGCGACGACCCCGCTGCCAAAAGGGCCCAAGCAGTGCAGCGCGAATTGACATCATTGCCGAAGCCCGTTGACCTACAGGATCGTATCCCCTCCGCCTCCCCTCGTTTCTCCTCCTCCACCGCCCCCTCGTCCCCCTCCGAAGTCGTAACTAGCCCTTGACTGGCGTTGCGGCCAAAATAATTGCGCGCCCGAACCAAGGTTTGAGCAGGCGCGGTTGTTCCGCATGCCGCATTGCGCCAATCATGTGGCAAGACAGCAGCAACGCAACCAAAGCAAAAGCACATCGCGAGCGTGCACCCAGTTAGCGCGGGCGAGTTTGCAGGCGCAGCCGCGAGCGCATCTCCACTGGGGCCGATGGAGGAGGCTGGCGCTGGCATGGTCGCGACGCCAGTGGAGGGTGAGGAGGAGGAGGAGGAGGAGGAGGGGGAGGAAGGTGCCATTCTGGATCGGGGGCTGGGGGCTTGTTTCTTGCAGGCCCCCCACCACGGCGCCTTCAGCAGATGCGGCAGCGGCCTGCCACATGCCATGGCACTCGTTGCGTCTCCAGCGTCGGTGGCCCGCCGAGGCATCATGTTCGCACAGTACAACCCCCAGAGTGCGAACCAGCTGAGGAGCCGAGACGTGATCGAGGAACTGTCGAACTTCGATGTGGTGGGACTGATCGGGACACACCATCGGTCGACAGGAGGGATGATCGAGTTATCGCAGCGTCTTGATAATCGGATGGAATCGAGGAGTTCACTGCAACAAAAGCTTTGGTCTCACGCTGTGGCTTCGGAGGCGTTTCTTTCGCAGTCCGACATCAAGGGTTTCCTGTTCACGCCACAGAGACTCTGGGGCCGATGCAGTTAAGTTTGGGCAGGGCACGCTCAGGCGAGTGATAGTATTGATGTCTGTTCCCGTTCAACCTAGAGGACGACCTCCGGCAGCACGGTTGGAAACAACAGTCTCAGCGATGATGTCTTGGTTTCCCTGTAGACTTGCATCGGTGTCCGCACGGTGGTCACCATTCTTAATGAGTGATGTCAACTGGCAGTTCCAGCATATGCATGATTTTGTTGGCCCATACGGCAATGGTGATCTCAATGCAACAACGGAGGGGCGATCGGCTTTCCTAGCGTCTCACTCCTTGTGCGCCGTGAACACGATGTGGCCCGCAGTGGACACGTACTACGGCAACCAGACGTCCAAAGTGACCGACGTCAGTTTTACGCCCCAGTGGTGGGTTTCTGAAGCGTGCTGGTGCCGAACGCTAAGGCGTAGTTCATGGATGTTGCAAGCTCATAACCAGAGTAAGATGTGGGATCATGTACCAGACTGGCTAGCTATCCCTCTTGAAGTGGTCGCCGAAACGTATCTCGCTCAGAATTCACGCTTTTCAGGAGAAGCAATGTCCATGCTGCTGCAGGACATTGCTGGAGGAGGAGAGGGAGGAGAGGGATGATGATGATGAGGAGGAGGAGGAGGAGGGGGAGGAGGAGGAGGAGGAGGAGGAGGAAAAGGAGGAGGAGGAGGAGGAGCAGAAGGAACACTGCACGAAGTTTGAGCTTCCGATGGGGGGGCACCATAATTTCGTCTCCCTTCTTTTCATCCGTGGGGCTCAAGTTTCCGTAACCCGCAACAGAGAGGCCCTTTCTTTGTATGGTCATTGCAGAGTCCTTGCAGGGGGGGGAACCCCGCAACGACCTTGCAAGACCATGCGAAGTGGAAGTCTTGGAGGCCTCTTGGGGCAATCTTGGGCCCCATGGCTCAACGCTGCGGGGGTCAGAAATTCAGCCCCCCCCCCTGGAGGCTCAACGAGGATGTTTTGGGGGCATATTGGGGCGCTCTTGGCGCGCTCTTGCAGGCTCTTATTTGGCCTCAACTGGGGTTCTCTTGGGCCGTTTCGGGGCCATCTTGAGATTCCAAAAGCCCGTCAAAAACAAACGGGTGACACGGCAAACCGAAATTGATGTTCCATGGGGGTTAGTCTCTTGGGGGGTGCCCTGGAAAGCTTGGAGGGCACTTGGGACCATTTTTGGGCCGTCCCGAGGCCCCTTGGAGGCATGTCGGAGGCTATCTTGATTTATATTGAAACATTTTGGGCCATCTTGATGACCATGTTGGGCTCTTTGACGCCCTCTTTGGGTCGCCTTGGACCGAAACGTTCCTTCTGAAACCTCGCGGGGCGCCCCGTCCAAACCCAGGGGGGGTGGAGGGGAAGGGATTGTGTCTGGTGGGCCTGCGCACATCAGGCCATACGCCACCCCTTGACAGTGATCGCGGGGTGGCCGCGCATGAGCCAGATTTAGCCGCGAGGTGCATGTTGTATTGTTGTTATCAGGGATGGTAGCCCTGCGCGCAGCAGGCAATATGCTGATACCCCCGCCGTCCCTTTCAGAAAACAGCACACACTGCTCGCAGGCCTCACGAACATGACTCCAGATTTTGCCCCAAGGTGTATTTTTAAAAAGGCTTTTTGACAGGGATGGTGTGGGGCGGGTCTTCATTGCTCCTGGTTGGTTGCCGGTCGCCTGGGGGAGGGGGTGTATACTAATAGGGAACAGTGATCGAGGCCCCCTCTTCGCCCGCACGCCGTCTCGCTCACTCCCACCCGCTATCCCAACACGTCTCAGCATATAGCTTAGGAGGGCCACGCATGCCATGTGCGCCACGGGTTCCAGGTGCACCAGGCACCGTGAAGGCCCAAGCGAGCCAGGCGCGCCAGGTGCGGCACGTGCTGCACGTTTACGTATGATGCCGGCACCCCCGCCGACCCTGTCAAAAACCAATGCAAAATGGTCGCGGGGCGCCCGCGAACGCTCCAAATTTGGAGGCGCAGTGCGTTACGTAGTGTTTTGGGATTGGGATGGTTGGCCTGAGCGCAGCGAGCAGTATGACGACAACCCAGGTCAAAAACTCATGCGACTTGGGCGCCCGCGCATGCTCCAGATGTGGAGGCGACGTGCATGCTGTATTGTTTTTTGGGCAGGGCTGGTTGGCTTTCGCGCAGCGAGCAGTATGACGGCAGCCCAGCCGCCCCTGTCAAACACCAGTGCAAAGTTGTCGCGGGGCGCCCGCGTATACGAAAAATGTGGAGGCAACATGCAATCTGCATTCGTTCTTGACAAGGATGGTGTGGGGGGGAGGGGATGTCTCGTGTTGGCCCGCAGTCGGGTGGGGTAGGGGGCGTATCTTTTACGCGGAACGGTGGTCAGCCCCGCCCCCGAGCAGGGGAAGGAGGGAACCTTGGCAGAGAGAAGACACCTCGGCGTCACCCACACACACACTGATAAAAACTGTGCGTCGCCCCCCCCGGGCCTCTCCGCGCACCGAAACATCTTCTGGTGTATGGGTCGTGGCGGGCGTTTTCTGGCCACACCTCTCGGGAAACGGTATACTACAAAATGGGTATACTATATGTTCGGGTCGGACGCGCGCCTCCAAGGAGAACGTGTAGTGCTAGTATGTCTTTGTGCGTCCCAGCAAAGCTCGTTAGACCACTTACGCCCAGAGGGCTGGTGGGATTTGAAGTGCGTGACCTTTTGGTTCCCCCAGCCCTCGGTGCGCGCTCTGCGCTGCCGAGAGTGCCCGACCCTCCTGGGGCCCCGCGCGACCTCCCCTGCGCTTGCAGGACCCCGGAGACCAGGACACAGATATACCAGGACACAGAACACCAAGGAAACGACACCCATTCCTGCAAAGTCACAGTTTTCAGCACCCGCGCATTTTTGCTTGCTGCGCTGCAGGATTCGGGTTTGTGTCTGAGCTTAGGGGGGTCTTGCGGGCTTTTAGGGCCTGTGCCCGGGTTTGTTCGGGAACGTCGCAGTGCAGTTTTTTGTTCGTGCCGCCGTCTGGAAAATTTGGTTTCGCGGGATGTTGGGTGTCCGGGTCTGGCGGGTCCAGGTTTACGGGGCCCTGACTTCTGGGAACGGCGTTTCTGCGGGGTGTTGCCCAGGGGCTGGAGGAGCAGGAACGTCCAGGATTTCAGAGGAGGGAAGGGTACCCGTGCCGCGGCTCTCCCTTCATTCTCGCCGTTTCTGGGCCTCCCAGGAGGCCCCCGTGGCCACGGCTGGAGCCGCCTTGGGGTCCTTGTCAGAAGGCACCCTGTGAGAGGTCCGAGGAGCAGCGGTCATCGGTGTTTCCTTGTTCCCCCCAAAGGGGGTCCATGATGGTGCTCGGTCAGTCTGTTGGTCTGTCCGCTGTGCGCGCCTCCGCCGCCACCGCCGCCACCGTCGCCGCCGCGACCACCAAAATGCCGCCACCGCCACCGCCGCCAGCACCGCCGCCGCCGCCGACACCATCGGCTCCTCCTCCCGCCACCTCCCTTCCCCCTGCGGACCTTCCTGTGCGATCTGCAGCACAGCGTGGCAGCAACGCCGTTCTCGCCAGTGGCCGCCGCCGCCACTGCCGCCGCCACCTCCGCCAGCAGCAGCGTCACAGGGAGCCTCTGCGAGCCCAGGCGAGTTCTGCGCGCCTCGGAGGACCCGCGGCTGTTCTACGCGTACGCCCGCGGCCCAGCCGGGCCGGGGCTCGCTTGCCTCCTCTTGACATCCTACGTTGGCCTCCCGGATGCGATCGGAGTAGCATTCAGTCGGGCTCGTCCGTCTACAGGAGGAGTACTCAAAAAGGGTCCAACAAATAGTGAGTCTGGGGACGATGTTTCGAGTATCGGTGGCAATGCTCTGAGACTCTTTGACTATTTTTGAGCCGTCGTCCGAACTCCGCCTGTTTGGGGGACATGCCCGACCTGAGAGCACAGCGCCGTTTTTGATACATGCTCCGCGTGCGGATCATGTATTAAGCATGCAGGGATTCAGTGCCAAAAAAACACGACGAGTTCATGCACACATTTATTCACACATGAGTCATGTACTACACATCCTATCTTTGAAGAAATATCCTCTGTATAAAAACTGCCCCTGTAGCAGTCCCAGGAAGTCATAGCGGCCGGGCGCGGTGGCCTGCGCGGGCCGCCACCGCGGCACGCCGCGCGGAGGAGGAGAGGCCGCCCGCGCGCGGCCTCGCGCGGGAAGCCTCTGCGCGCGCATGCCGGCGCCGTCGACCCCGCATTCCTCTGCCGCTCGCCTAGAGGCCTCCTCCTCTTACTCCTCCTCCTCCTCCTCCTCCGCTTCCTCCTCCTCCTCCTCCGCTTCCTCCTCCTCCTCCGCCTCCTCCTCCGCCTCCCTCCTCCTCCTCCTCCTCAGCCTCCCTCCTCCTGCTCCTCCTCCTCCTCCTCCTCCTCCTCCTCCTCCTCCGAGGAGGAGGAGGAGCAGGAGGAGGAGGAGGAGCAGGAGGAGGAGGAGGAACAGGAGGAGGAGGACCAGTGGTCGATGGGGGTCCGAGTCGATGGGGTCGGAGGGTCGCGCCGCAGCGCCGATGCATCGGCGATGCGGCTCGATGTGCACCCCGGCTCGCTCCACGCCGACGTCGCCGCCGAGGCATCGCCGATGCGGCGCCGATGCGGCGCCGATGCAGCGCCGATGCATCGCCGATGCAGCGGCGAGGCGGTTCGAGCCTTCGACCCCACCCACTCGGACCCCCATCGACCACTGGTTCCTCCTCCTCCTCCTCCTCCTCCTCCTCCTCCTCCTCGGGGAGAGGGAGGGGGAGGAGGAGGAGAAGGAGGAGGAGGAGGAGAGAGGGAGGAGGAGAGGAGGAGGAGGAGGTGGAGGGGGAGGGGGAGGGGGAGGGGGAGGGGGAGGAGGATGAGGAGAGGTGGAGGAGGAGGAGGAGGAGGAGGAGGAGGAAGGAGGAGGAGTAGGAGTAGGAGGAGGAAGAGGAGAGGAGGAGGAGGAGGAGGAGGAGGAGGCAGTTTGTCGTAGGTGTTCCTTAGGTTCTCCTAGGTGTTCCTCGGGTTGTCTCGGGTACTCCTTGATGGCTTCACAGGTTGTCTCAGGTGTTTGCCTTAGACTGTTCTTCGGGAGATCGTGGCTTAACCTGTGGTGGAACCTGTGGTGGAGTACGGGGTTCCTTATGCCAGCGTCTCGGCTGTAGCCGGCTCTTGCTCCTCTGGGTACGCCCACACCGGCCCTGGGGGGGGGACCGATCTTGGGCCCTGGGCCTAGGGCGGCTCTGGCCATGATCGGTGCAGGTGAAGAGTCGTCGGCCTCTTATTGGCCACAGTCGAGCTACTCAGAGGAGGACAGGGTACCCATACCGCTACCCTTCCCCCGTTGTCCTTTTGCTGGGCCTCCTGGGAGTCCCTCGTCGCCACCGCTGGATTCGCCTCGGAATCCTGGCCAGAACATACCCTAGGAGAGGTCCGGGAGTAGCGGTATGGCCTTCATCCTCGACTGGGGATTGCCCCCCTTCCCCCCCGCCCCCCCCCCTCCCCCCCTCTGCGGAGGGGGATCCTCGATCCCACACCCCCTCCCATCTCCCTCCGATCCCTCCCATGCTCGCCACGGACCTATCCCCCCTCCTCGCCTCACCTCGATCATCCCCTCAACCCTCCCCTCGGTCCCACCAGGGGACAGCGTCACAGTTCGCAACCTCCCCCCCAGGGATATGGCCCCCAGAGACTGAACATGCGTACACATCCGGGCCGCGCAGGAGCCCTCGGCCCCCCATGGGGCCCAAAGGTGGCACGAAAGGTCTGCGCTTCTTCGCTCCCCGCTCATCACCCCCCGCTGTGCAACGCCTGGAGATCCCCCCCGCCGCGATTTTTGTCGCGACGCGACGTATTGCCCCCGGTCGACCCGCGGCGTCGTCGTCGTCGTCGTCGTCGTCGTCGTCGGCGGCGGCGGCGGCGGCGGCGGCGGCGGCGTCAGCGTCGTCGTCGTCACCGTCCTCCTAATCATCGTCGTTGTTGTCGTCCTCCTCCTACTCCTCCTCTTTCTCCTCGCCCTCGTTCTCGTCCTCGTCCTCGTTCCGTCGTCGTCGTCGGTGGCGAAGGCGAAGGCGGCGGCGGCGGCGTCGTCGTGGTCGTCCTCGTCGTCGTCGCCCTCGTTCTCCTCATCGCCCTCCTCGTCGTCCTCGCCCGCCTTCTCCTCCCCCTCCCCCTCTTCCTCCTCCTCCTCGCCCGATCGACCCGCAGGGGAGACCCGCGGTGCCCCCCCCTCCCCCGAGGCGCGGGGTCTGTGGGCGCGCGGGGACGTGGCGGCCGCCAGGGCCCTGCTCCTGAAGCTGTGCGCGGCGGGCGCCCCAGGCGCCCTGGCCCCATTCCCTCCCCCAGCCAAGCAGCAGCTGTCCAAGGGTCCGGCCCCGATGAAAACGCCCCACCCTTGCCCGCGCAGCCCCCACCGCTCCCCCTCCTCCCCCCCCCTCCCTCCTCCGTCCCCTCCTCTCTCCTACTCTCTCCTCCCTCCTCAATCCTCCCTCCTCCTCCCGCCCCTACTCCTCCGCCTCCCTCCCCCTCCCCCTGCCTTCTCCGTTCCCCCCTCACCACCCCCCCTCCTCTTTCCTACCCTTCTCTTCTTCCACTGACTCCCCCTCTGCTCCCCTGTTCTTTTCTCCCCTCCCCTTTCTTCGGCTCCCTCACCTCCCTCCCCCTCCCTCCTTCCCTCACTCCCTCCTCCCCCGTCCTCCTCCCTCCTCCCTCCTCCCTCCTCCTCCCTCCTCATCCTTCTCACCCCCTCGCTCCCTCCCTCCCATCAGTTCTTCTCCGCCCCAACGCCCGCCCTCCACTCCCTCCCTCCCTCCTCCCTCGCCCCTCCCCCCTCCCTCCTCCCTCCCGCCTTTTCTCCTTCCTCCCTCCCAAGGGGGGCCGTGGGTTGCGCTCCCTCGGAGCGCGGGCCTCCTCTCCCGGCTGGCCGCACACGGGCCGCGCGGCCGCCCGCCATGGCAGCCACCGCGCGCCCGTGCCGCAGTCTGCGCCGCTCGCCCGGCACGGCCCCAGGCGCAGGCCAGAGCAGCAGAGCAGAGCAGAGCGGCCTGACGTCCGCTCCCTGCCGGGAGCGGCCCCCTGCTGGCAGTCAAGAAACTGCCTGGGCAGGCCGTGGATGGTGAGACGTGGAAAACACCATCGCCAGAGAGCTTCACGGGTGACGCGTCGGCCCACCTCTTGGCAGGCCTGCCTGGCCAGAGCGGAGCAGGCCAGAGCATGCCTGGCATCGGCGCTGGCGAGAACGTGGGACACAAGCACGAAGGCTTGTAAACATGTCAGCAGCCAATGATCTCCTGCAGGCTCATCACAGCGCCATGTCTCGACCCCCGCTGCGCATCCAGCAAATCGAGGACCTACTCGGATGCAACACTCGGGATCTGCGGGCGATCTGCGGGCCGACACTACTGCCCAGGACAGCATGGGCTGGGAGCGTATCCTCGGCGTGATGGACGGCCAGATCAGCTATGACCATGACACGGTCAAGTTCAGCGACGAGAAGAACGCCGCCCCGAGCTCCTAGCATACTTCCTGCACGCAGCAGTGAAGGAGACGACTCGTGTGTTTGCGTCACAGGGTCGACCACCGTAGCTCCGCTCACCAAGACACAGGGCGACCTACCCAGCACCCGCGAGATCGTCAAGTTTTGCGGACACTCGTGGCCAATAGTTACGAGGACAGTGTGCAGTGTGCATAGAATTTGAGTTCTGCTCAGCTGGCTGTGTCAACTGAGTGGTATCAGTCATGTAGAATGTGCTCCACCAGCAGTCCCGTGCGCGGTAAGCAGAGAGTTCCTTGCAGGGGTCAGTAGAGCGCTCCAGGCAGCAGGATGGCACCAACGACGTTATGACAACCTTGTTTGAGCAGCAGAGTCGAAGGATACGCGTTCCTGTCCTGCTTGCCTCACCCCATCCACGCCTGCAGCACCCGCTGCCGGCTCAAGCTGGTACCGCGCCCCGCGCCCGCAGTTAGACACGCTGTTAAACCCGCTGTTCAGTCGCACGCCGTGGTTCAGAAAGCATTTGTCTTTCACATCTGTCCTCACATCCATGCCTCTGGTCCCTCCTCCCTCCCTCCCTCCCTCCTTCCCCTCTGTGTCTCGCAGCGTTCCGCATCGTTCCCTTTCGCCGCCGCGCCCGCCGCGCTGGCTACGCGGTGGCGGGGCTCACGGACGCCGCCGTGGGTCGTGTTCGATTTCTCGAAGGGGGGAAAGGGGAGGGAGGAACCGTACAAACCAGGAGGGTGAGAAGGGGATGCAAGGAGCGGGTGGTCTGCTCAAGTGATGATGTTGTTTCTGCTCGAGATTCTGTATCCAGCCCGTTACCCAGTGCACGCGATGCGGATCACGGCCCTCGGGAATTAGCACATAGGGCTCCTTGTTCCCTGTGTGGACTCTTTCTGGGCCACCTTTTGGAACCTTCGGGGCCTTTTTAGGGGCAGGCGGGCTTCTTGGGGCGCTGTTTTGGGTCCTCTGGGCGCTCGTAAGATCGAAGGGGCGAGAATGGCTAAAGCCGAGCAGGGCGTATGGGCTTCCGACGGCTTGAGCCTTTTAGGGCTGGCGCTCCGGGCTTCCAAGGACGTCCAGGAGGCCCCCGAGAGAGCCCAGGCCAGAGCTAGGACGAGAAACGGGCCGTTCCAGAGTGTTCCGGAACGCTCTCAGAGCGTTCCGGAGCGGTCTGGGAAGGCCGCGGTGCCCGATTTCTCTTCCAGAGCCGCAGGATTTCAGCGATCCTGGAGTTGTTTTCACCCGATTGTATCCTTGTCCTGGCTTCGCCGAAGATCGGGGAAACGCAAGACCCGAGTAAGCCGGAAATCGGGTTTGCCGAGGTTTTTTTTGACGAGCGCGTCCTAGATTTTGGCGGTCCAGTTTTCGTGGGATGTCTGCAGCGGGAGCTCGCGTCAAATTTCAGATTGGGCCTCGTCATTTTTATGATGGCCCCGTCGGCCCAACCCGAGTCCCCCGTACCCGAGTCTTACATCTCCCCGAGAAGAGCCCCAGAGCGGCCCCCTGGGACCGTCCCCGGGGACTCGTGGCAAGTTTGGATGCCGAGCCACGCTCCCGAGGCCTCGGGGGGAGAGCCGTGCGGCTCGTTGTCTGGAGCGCCCCACGCGGCGCCGCACCGGGGAGTTTGCTGTCCCTCTTTGTGACGGCATGCACTGGTGAGTACTACTGAGCCAAAGGAAAAAGAGGAGGAGGAGGAGGAGGAGGACGAGGTGGAGGAGGAGGATGACGATGACGATGAGGACGAGGACGAGGACGAGGAAGAGGAGGAGGAGGTGGAGGAGGAGGAGGAGGAGAGCGCCATCGACAGGGAAGGTGGGGGCCACGAGGTTCGCCGGCTCGACGACGCCCGCGTCGCCCGCGCCCGCCCCCTCACTCTTATCCGCAATTGCGGGGTGCTACGTACTACTGCGCCAAAGGCCAAAGGGCATGCCACTCAGTCTCTTCAGCAGGGCGGCGGATGTTAAGGATGTGTGGTGGTGGTGGTTGTGTGTGCGTGTAACATATTGCTGTGTTTGTTTGGTTCTTCTGTCAATTCAAGCTGTGCGCGGCCCGCTTAGCTTCGACCGGAAGAGGCTCGCTCCCGACCCGCGGATCAAACAAGTTTGTTTGGTTCACGGGGAGATCGTCCCAGCGTTTCAGTGAAAACGCGGCGGCCATGAAACAGCTGAGAGGTGGCCTGAAGGTAACCAAGTGCAGGGCATGCCACAGAGTAATTTGGCCCTGACCGCTTGCGAGGTATAAGCAAGCCAGTTCGCAGCAACGTGATGTGATAATTAGCGATTGTGTGGCGCAGGGCCAGCCGCGAGCAAGACGTGACAAGTTTGCCTGATGAGCACTGTCTAGATATGATGTGAGTATGGCAATTGTGTGCGTTGACATGATGTGGCTATGTCTCAGGGGTACGAACTTGGAATGATTTGCCAGACGCGAACTGGGTATTGTGTGGCTATGGCTCTGGTTGTGGCCAAGGATTATCTGAGGGACACGCGCAAGACATGGTAAGTTTGTTCGGGGCAACGACGCAACCTCATCCTCCAGGAACGCGGCGCCGAGGGGCCCGGGGTCACTTACCACCAGGGGCACCCAGAGTACTTTACGTGGCGCCTCTCTTGCTGGGGGCTCCCAGAGCTCCCCTCGGGCTCTCTCCCTCGGCTCTGGGTGCCCCTCAAACCACCCAGTGCCCTTCACGATATCCCAAGAGGGCCACAAGACGGCCCAGGATTGCCTCACGACGGCCCAAGAATCCTTCTCGACGTTCCAAGTGGGGCCAAGGAGGACACCCAATAGGCCCCAAGAAACACAAATCATTGTTTTCCCATTGTTTGTTACGCATTTTAGCGTCCTCGCTTAAATTCAACGCTTCTGTTCATTATGTCACAGCCCCTCTGCCCCGCTTCACGCTAGACTTTCAGACGTGTAGAACTTGAGCGCGCGTGATGCACGGGCGATGGTTATAGTCAGGAGGTTGTGATGCGCTGTCTCTGAGGCTGCCGTGTACCACCCACGGTGTGGCGATGAGGCGATTGCACAGTGGTAGTGAGATAGCTGTGTGGTAGGGTTAAGGTAGTTGTGAGATAGCAGTAGGGCACAGGGCTGGGCAGAAACATGCCAGACGAAGACGATGTAGCCCGAGGAAGCATCGTGGATACAGGATGTTCTCGTCCCGTCGTTCGACAGTACTTAAAGATGACACGGAAACAACACCCATCGTTTTTGTCCACAGGATTGAATTTGCCTGTTGTTGTAACCAGAAAGCTTCTGGTTGCTGGCATCACGCATGTTCGTCATGGTACGTCTCCACCGTGCAACTTTCTTTCTCAGTTGCCAATGTCACAAGCACTCGCAGCAGTGCCTCTGAGCATCGAAAGCTGTAAAGAAAGTGTTGGGTAGCTGTGCTGTGGTGCCTTGTGGTGCCCTGTGGTGTCGTGCTTGAGGCCCAGAAGCCCGACGCAGACGGAGGCTTTGTAGTGCCTTGTGTGTGGTGCCCTGTGGTGCCGTGCTTGAGGCCCAGAGGCCTTGTGGTGCCTTGTGGTGCCCTGTGGTGTCGTGCCTGACGCAGCGGTGCCATGGCGCTGTGCGTTGGGTCCCTCAGTTTGACGTGGCTTTGAGTGCTGTGTGCGGCGCCACTCTGCCATGGTCTGCGGCAGGGCTGGACCTACACGCTGTTTTGCTGGACTTCGGCCGTGTTCTGTTGTTCGTTTTGGCAGGGAGGTACAGGAATTAGCCTGGCGAAGAACCCAACCATATGCAGTTGTCAGTACCGCAGCTGCGGGTTTCATCTTCAATGGAACTCCCCATAGGATTACGGAACGTGTGAGGGGTGTGCCGAGATGGGTGCCACTGGGGCATTCGGCGAAACTCCCTATGGGGACATGAAACACGCGCGGGGCGTGCCGACATGGGTGGCGGAAACGCATGTGCGGGCCGCCACTGGGGCCTCCAGTGGAGCTCCCTATGGGTCCCCGAAACATGATGCTGCTGCGGGGGGGGGGCCGGGATGGGTGGCGGAGACGCATGTAAGCGCCGCTACTGGGGCCTTCGGTGGAGCTCCCTATGGGGCCACGAAGCGCGTGAGGGGTGTACTGGGATGTGTGGCGGGACGCATGTGAGCGCCGCCACTGGGGCCTTCGGTGCAGCTCTCTATGGGGCCACGAAACGTGTGAGGGGTGTGCCGAATTGGGTGCGGGTGGTGACGCATGCGGGCGGTGCCACTGGGGCCTTCGGTGGAGCTCCCTATGGGGCCACGAAGCCTGTTGTTGTGAGGGGCGTGCCGGGATGGGTGGCGGGGACGCATGTGAGCGCGGCCGCTGGGGCCTTCGGTGGAGCTCCCTATGGGGCCACGAAACGTGTGAGGGGTGTGCCGAATTGGGTGGGTGTGGGTGACGCATGTGAGCGCCGCCACTGGGGCCTCCGGTGGATGATGGGGCCACGAAGCCTGTCAGGGATGTGCCGAATTGGGTGTGCGGGACGCATGCGCATGTGAGCGCCGCCACTGGGGCCTTCGGTGGAGCTCCCTATGGGGCCACGAAACGTGTGAGGGGTGTGCCGAAATGGGTGTGGGTGACGCATGCGGGCGCGGGCACTGGGGCCTTCGGTGGAGCTCCCTATGGAGCCACGAAACGTGTGAGGGGTGTGCCGAAATGGGTGTGGGTGACGCATGCGGGCGCGGGCACTGGGGCCTTCGGTGGAGCTCCCTATGGAGCCACGAAACGTGTGAGGGGTGTGCCGAAATGGGTGTGGGTGACGCATGCGGGCGGCAGCACTGGGGCCTTCGGCGGAGCTTCTACTATGGGGCCACGAAACGTGTGAGGGGTGTGCCGAATTGTGTGTGGGTGACGCATGCAGGCGGCAGCACTGGGGCCTTCGGCGGAGCTCCTATGGGGCCACGAAACGTGTGAGGGGTGTGCCGAATTGGATGTGGGTGACGCATGCGGGCGGCAGCACTGGGGCCTTCGGTGGAGTTCCCTATGGAGCCACGAAACGTGTGAGGGGTGTGCCGAAATGGGTGTGGGTGACGCATGCGGGCGCGGGCACTGGGGCCTTCGGTGGAGCTCCCTATGGAGCCACGAAACGTGTGAGGGGTGTGCCGAAATGGGTGTGGGTGACGCATGCGGGCGCGGGCACTGGGGCCTTCGGTGGAGCTCCCTATGGAGCCACGAAACGTGTGAGGGGTGTGCCGAAATGGGTGTGGGTGACGCATGCGGGCGCGGGCACTGGGGCCTTCGGTGGAGCTCCCTATGGAGCCACGAAACGTGTGAGGGGTGTGCCGAAATGGGTGTGGGTGACGCATGCGGGCGCGGGCACTGGGGCCTTCGGTGGAGCTCCCTATGGAGCCACGAAACGTGTGAGGGGTGTGCCGAAATGGGTGTGGGTGACGCATGCGGCCGCGGCCACTGGGGCCTTCGGTGGAGCTCCCTATGGAGCCACGAAACGTGTGAGGGGTGTGCCGAAATGGTTGTGGGTGACGCATGCGGGCGCGGGCACTGGGGCCTTCGGTGGAGCTCCCTATGGAGCCACGAAACGTGTGAGGGGTGTGCCGAAATGGGTGTGGGTGACGCATGCGGGCGCGGGCACTGGGGCCTTCGGTGGAGCTCCCTATGGAGCCACGAAACGGTGTACTGGGTGGGTGAAGAGGAGAGGAGGAGAGGAGGGGAGGAGAGGAGGAGAGGAGAGGAGAGGAGGCGGAGGAGGAGAGGAGGAAGGAGACGCGGGGCACCGTCTCTTCAAAACGAGGACCCAACACCACAGGATGGTTGGGAAAAAAGGGTAGAGCAAAACGAACAACAACGCGAAAACAACACGAACAACAGCGTTTAGGTCTGCGGCGCCATGTTGTGTTTCGCGTGGGGTCCCGAGGTCGAACGGGTTGCCAGGCGCTGCGCGCACATTGCCGTATGCTGCTCTGGCGAACTCCTCTGGCGCTGGGCAGAGGAGCGAGGCCAGACGACGTGCTGGGTGCCACAGCTGCGATGCCGTGCTCTGCGGGCGGGGGCGTGGGGCCAAAGCTCGGTATCGCTTAACCGATCCCCATCCCCATCCCCATCCCCTTCGAGACCCCCACCAGCTTACCACCCCAGTTGTGGACACACCCTTCGAAACCCGAAGTGGACGGCCTACATCCCCAGGTAGGGGGGTACATCGGCCATAGGGGCCCAGGCCGCGCCGCTGGGGATGGGGATCGGTTAAACTTTACTCAAAAAGTGGGGCTTGGAGCAGGGTGTTGAGTGCGCGTTCGTCGAAAGGAAACTCTATGGAAATGCTGATGGGCAGCATCGCCGACGTGCCGCGCAGTGCTGAGCGTGGGTCCCACGGTGCGTTGCGTGCTGGGTGTTGCGTGCCATGCGAGTGTTGTGTTGGCAGTCCAAGACAGTCCGAGGTGGTGATGCGCGGCGGTGCAAAGGTGCCGTGTGGAGCTGCAAGGGGGACCCTGATTTCCGGAGTGGAGCTGGATGCCGCGTTTGGTGCGATGCTCTCTGCTGGTGACTTGAAGCGGCGTCGGGTAGCGGCGCCAGTATGCTGTGTGATGCCGAGCGGGAACCATTGAGGTCCCACGGTGGGTTGGATACGGCGTGTCGCATTGGCCAATCATAGTGTCGTGGTGCCGTGTAGTGTTGAACAAAGGGTTCGAGGTATCACGCGACGTTGGGTGCTGCGTGCATTTGTGTATTCTACGCCGGCAAGTGGCATTGGACAGGGACAGTTTTGCCGTGGCGTCATCCAGTGCTGTGTGCGTGGCCCCGGTGTAAGCGTGGTGTTGGTCACCGCGTGTTGTGCCAGGTTATGTTGGCCCCGCCCGTCAGCATACGTTCTTGTGTTGGGTGGCCCAAGGCGAAGATTGTGGCGCGATCGACAGAAGGCAGATGTAAAGTTCGGCGGCCGAGGGCTCTCGGGCGCAATCAACAGCTGATGATTTCAAGTTTGAGCGGTCCACAGCGCAACCCGACACAGCTCAACCTCCCACGGCGCAGCCGCTGGCGAAGCCTATTGGACAACCAAGGGTGCAATCTGTGGTGCAGCCTCAGGGTGAGGCCTCTGGCGCAACATCTGGCGCAGCCTATGTCAGGCTCTATGACGCAACCTCTGGCGCAATCTCTGGCGCAAACAATGGCGCAACCTGTAGCGCAACCAATGGCGCTTTTTGGCGCCACAATTGGCTCAACCTGCTGCCTGATACATGGCGCAACCTATGGCGCAACCAATAGTGCAGTTCGTGGCGCAAAACATGATGCAACCACTGGAGCTTGGGGAAGGAGGCAGGACTGGACGGGGGAGGGAGCACAGGGGGGATGAGGGAGAAGAGATAAGAGCATAAAAGGGGCGAACGAGCAGCCAGACGGGATTCAAAGCAGTTTGCCCTCATGGCCTCTGCGGGGTTACGCACGCGGGTGTCTGAAGCTTTGCTCTTGGCCCCACCGCACAGAGTAACATTTCAATCGTCGCCGTGGCGCATCTCCACCAGCACTGTCATCACAGCTGGCCTCTCGGCCGCCGAGGGACCTGCTCCTGTCATGCCCGTCGTGGCTGGACCCACTGGGCAGGCCCTGCCGAGGGAGGGACCGCGGCCGCCTCGGCCCAAGATCGGCACGCAGTCGTGGGCCACGTCCTCCTGACGCAGGGCTGGATCTAAACATTGTGTTGGCGATTTCGTGGGCCGTTTTCGTTTCGATTTCGTTTTGCGGTAAAGGCGGATTGAAGACAAAACTAGGGAACACGAAAACATAACGATAACAAAAAAAACGTTTAGGTTCAGCCCTGCTCCTGTCGAGGCCGTCTCTAGGCACATCGCAGCGGGGCGCGGGTGCAGAGGTTGTCCGGGAACTCGCCCGGGCGCGTAGCAGACGGAGAGCCGTTCTCGCGGTAGTGCAACCCGTCCGCCGGGCGGCCCGTGGCGCTCTGCGGTTCATTCCGCAGTCGTTTTGATGGGCCTGTTCTCCACCACCACCACCACCGGACGTTGGAGGGGAGAAGGAGGAGGAGGAGGAGGAGGAGGAGGCGGAGGACGAAGAGGTGGAGGAGGAGCAGGAGGAGGAGGAGGGAGGAGGAGGTTCAGGAGGAGGATCCCCTACCCCTCCTATTCATGGCGGTGGCGGTGGAAAACAGGCCCACCAGTTGTCTCTTCAGCAGCGTCGTCTGCATGGTGGAGGGCGCTCTTGAGGTTATCAGAATCGACGTGGGGGGCCACCGCTACTCTTGTTCCAGCCGTCTCCTGGAGAAATGCCCGCGCGGCTCCCCGCTGAGGGAGCTGCTGCTGCAGCCCCCCGGCAGCTCCGGGTGCTACTTCATCGACAGGGACGGGCGCCTGTTCTGCCACGTGCTCAACTTCCTGCGCGACGGCCGCCTCCTCGCGCTGCCCACAGAGCCGGACGAGGTCCGGCAGTTGTATCACGAGGCTTGCCACTACAAGCTTTTTGATCTCGCGCTCGCGGTTCAGAGCGGCTACGCGGGGGCACCGTCGCCTCCGAACGAGGAAGCTCGCCTGCAGAAGCTGCACAATCTAGGGATTGCGCATTCGTCGCGCAGCGAGATCCAGTATGACAACATTACCCAGATTGTCAAGTCTCTCCTCGGCGTGCCCATCGTGCTCATATCCCTTGTGGGGAAAGAGTGCCACTGGTTCATGTCGAAGTGTGGACTCGACTTGTCTAAGGCGCCTAGGAACACGAGCTTCTGCGCCTACACTTTCTTGTCCGAGTCTCCAGAGATCCTCACCATCGAAGATGCCGCGACCGACCCGCGGACGTGCAACAACCCGCTGGTCATCGGAGACCCCAGGATCGGATTCTACGCAGGGTGCCCCCTGCTGACCTCCGACGGCTTCCGCCTGGGCACCCTGTGCGTGTTCGACTACGTCCCCCGCAAGATGCAGCACTGGCAGTACCAGGCCCTCGTCAGCTTCGGCCACCTGGCCGTGCAGGAGATCCAGCGGGCCGAGCTGCAGTGCGCCGGGGCGCCCACGGACGTCGCTCGGGAGACCCACGAGGCGTGGCAAGCTGCCGGCACCGGCCAGGTGCCCTCCAGGAGCTACGAGTCGGGGCTGCTCCGGCTCTGCAGGATGAAGGACCGGCGGCGGCGAGCGAGGCCCAGAGCCCTTCGAGCAGTGCAAGAGTCATGACGGCAGGCTTTTCTCGAGTTTCGGCCTCCGGGGGCCCTCACAGGGCCTCGGGAGCGGTCATGGGGAGAGGGTCGGGACCTCTGGGGGAAAAAGCATGACGTCTGGGGTTTGAGGGGGGGGGGAAGTGAGGAGGGGCGGGCCTTCTCAGAAGGCTTGGAGGTCCCCCGGCCTTCTGAGAAGTTCCCTGAGCCTTCCCCGGAGGCACCGGAGACTCCTCGGAAGGCCGGAGGGATCCCGAGGATCCCCGCCGCCTTCCGAAGGGGCCTCTCCTCCCCTCGCGCGCCGCCGAGCAAGGAGGCGCTCGAGGAGATCGTCTGCCTGGTGCAGCTCAGCAGCAGCTGCACGGACTGGCCGATCCTGTACGCGGACCAGGGCTGGGTCCAGGCCACGGGCATGCGGGTCCACCCCCTGCGCCTGCCCCTGGGCCTGGATGCGCCCGCCGCCTCGGGCGCCTTGCTCAACCGGCCGAGCCTGTGGGACTTCCTCTCCCTGGACGCGGGGACCGAGGACGGGGCGACGAGATCTGTTGCCTGGGGCGTTCCAAGAGCCCAGACCCCCTCGCGCTGTGAAAAGACCTCGCGACGGGAGGCTTTTCACTGTCTTCGGCCTCCGGGGGCCTTCGCTGGGCCTCGGGAGCGCCAAAAAACGACGCAGGACGAGAAACTGGTCCTGGGGACTGGGTCGCGAACTCTGGGGGTCGACGTTCTGAACAAAAATCGTGACGTCGGGGGTCTGGGAAAGGGCCCTGCCTTCGAGGGTCGAAGGGCCTGCCGTCATCTCTTCTGCGGCGGAACAGGGCGGCGGGCAGGGTGGCGGAAGTGGCGGCGGAAGCGAAGAACGAGGCCGCCCCCGCCAGCGGAAGCCGGCGGAAGGCCGGCGGAAGGCGGCGGAAGTAAAGGATGCGCTCCTAAGGGATGAGGTTTTGGGGTTCAGGGTTTCCGGAATCCGCCACACTGCTCCTGGGCCAGGCCCCTGGTGGTTTTCCGGTCACACTTCGGGCTTCTGGCGGCCGCTCGGGACCCCGGACGCTCCCAGCGAGGCACGGCCGCCGGAATACGGGGCCACATGCGAACCTTAGCCCTACCCCCCACGATTTCTGAGGGGGAGGGTTCGCATGTGGCCCCCATATGGAAGGCGCCCCGAGGCCCGGAAAGCCGCGGGGAGCCCACGAGCACGCCCGAGAGCCCCTTGCGCCGAGCATGCGCGGATCTCGTCGTCCGAGAGGAGTCGCTCCTGCGGAACGTGCGCGCGGCGTGGGAGGCGTTGGAGCTCAGTATCGCTTCGCCGACCCCTCGCCTCATTCCCATCCCTACCCTGACCTTCCAGGAGGGCTTAAAAGTAGCACCCGACCTAAAAACCTATCCCAGAGCCATTCTACGTCTTGGTTTTAGGCTGTTTCGTTTAGTTTTTTAGGTTTTTGGGCCTCCAGTGCTAAAAAATAGCTCTCTGGAAGGTCAGGGTACCCCATCCAGACCCCCACCGTCTCAGCACCCCAGTTGGGGGTACACCCCGAAGCCCGAAGGAAACGGCCTGTATATGACCATCTCGGGGGGCAGCACCGGCCAGTGGGGCCCAGGCCGCGCGCATGAGGATAGGGGTCGTTTGGATGCAGCTCCTGGGAAATCAGATTCTGATTTTGCCCCTAATCCGGCGCAAGAGCCCCTCAATGGGAGGATTCTATCCTCTTTAATCCTTCCGACGAAGACCTCCCAGTAGCTGCCTCCTCAGGGTCGGCTAAGCAATGCTCAGAGGAGGAAGTGGAGGAGGAGGAGGAGGAGGAGGAGGGGGAGGAGGAGGAGGAGGAGGAGGAGGAGGAGGACGGAGGAGGACGGAGCAGCACCCGGACCCCCGACGTCGTGACTTTTTTCATGACGCGACCCCCAAAGGTCCAGACCCAAAACCAGGGACCCGTTTTCATCCTGAGTCGTGTTTTGAGGGGGTTTGGGGAGAGATTCTTCGACACCCTCTGCTCGGATCCCACCAGGGAGACCCTGAGAATCTCAGGGATGGCGGGGTGGTTTATCCTGTGTCGCCTTTCGGCCGCCAGGAAGAGGAGGAGGAGCAGGAGGAGGAGGAGGAGGAGAAGGAGGAGGAGGAGGAGGAGGAGGAGGAGTTGGAGGGAGGCGGAGGAGGAGGAGGAGGAGGAGGAGGAGGAGGGGGAGGAGGATCTCAGGGAGGGCCCGGGGCCCGAGGCGCTGGAGCAGCCCCACGTCTTCGGCCTCTCGGCCCGGCTGGCCTCGGCGCGGCGGGGCCCCGGCCGCTGGCCCGGGCCCCGCCCGGTGTCCTGCCGCCTGGCGCCCGTGCACGAGGCCCTGGACCTGGCCGCGGGCGCCGTGGGGGCACCGGCGGGAGCCGGCGGAGGAGGAGGAGGAGGAGGAGGAGGAGGAGGAGGAGGAGGAGGAGGAGGAGGAGGAGGAGGAGGAGGAGCCTCAGACCCATGGGGGGTGGACAGACCTCCTCCCCTGACACGTCGATTCAGGAATTGGCCGTTTTCGGTTCGCGAGAGGGCGTCGCGGCCGTCGTTTTTGCGGGTGCAGGTCCGTCGGTTTCGGTCCCAGGCCGCTTTCACTAAGGGGAGGTCTATTAAAGGGAGGTTTGTCCACCGCCGAACCCAGACCTCCTCGCGCCGTGGAAAAACTACGACCCCAGACCCCCTCGAGCAAGGACAAAAGACCATGACGGGAGCTTCTTCCTGATTTTCGGCCTCGGGGGGTCCTCACCGGGCCTCGGGAGCGTCAGAAAACGATACAGGACGAGAAACCGGTCATGGGGAAAGGGTCGGGACCTCCAGGGGTCGACGTAATGAAAGAAAACATGACGTCGGGGGTCTGGGGACCCAGACCTCCTCGCGCCGTGAGAAAGCTACGACGGGAGGCGTGTCGCTAGTTTTGGCCTCTGGGGGCCCTTCCCCGGCCTCAGGACCGTCGACGAAGCGATGCAGGATGAAAAGCCGGTCCCGGGGAAGGGGTCCAGACTTTTGGGGGTCAGCGGGCCTCAGATCCAGAACCCAGAAGCCCAGTCCCCTTCGAGCAATGAACAAATAATGACGGGAGGTTTTTCGCCATTTTCGGCCTCCCGGGGCCCTCACCGGGCCTCGGGAGCGTCAAAAAACGACTCAGGATGATAATCCGGTTCTGCGGAATGGGTCGAGAGCTCTGGGGTCCAACGAAAAAATCATTAGGTCGGGGGTCTGGGAGGCTTGCTAGAAACCTCCTGGCGCTTCCGACCCAGACCCCCGACGTAATGATTTTTTCATTACGTCGACCCCCAGAGGTCCCGACCCTTTCCCCATGACCGGCTTTGCATCCTGGGTCGTTTTTTGACGCTCCCGAGGCCCGGTGAGGGCCCCCGGGGGCCGAAAATTCAGAAAAACCTCCCGTCATGATTTTTTCATTACTCAAGGGGGTCTGGGGAGAAGGCCTTTGCTTTCCAAGACCCCTCCCTCCCGCCTTCTCGTGAGGCCCCCCCCCCTCCCCCCCTCGCGCAACCGCCTCGTGCGCGCAGCTTGGCGGCGCGCAGAGGGGGGGAAAGGGGGAGGAGGAGGAGGAGGAGGAGGAGGAGGAGGAGGAGGAGGAGGAGGAGGAGGAGGAGGAGGAGGAGGAGGTGGAGGAGGAGGAGGAGGAGGAGGAGGAGGAGGAAGAGGCGGCGGAGGAGGCGGAGGAGGAGGAGGAGGAGAGGGGGAGGCTTCTTAGAGGCACCCCTGCTTCTCAGAAGGCGCGGGCCTATCTCTGGATGTGAGGCTGGCGCCCTCTAAGAAGCAGCCTCCTTCTGAGAAGCATTCCTCGGCGCACCGCCAATGCATGACTTGGCGCGCAAGTCGTCTGAGGGCTGCCTGCTGCCCTGCTGGGCTGCGCAGCCAGCCAGGGGCCTCTGATGCGACCAAGTGGAAGAAATTACGTAAACAGAAGCTTATGGCGCTCCTCGCCGATTTCTTGGATCCGCGCTGGGCCCTCCTGGCGGCGCCTCCGGCGCCGCCCCTGGCGCGCGGAGCGCGCCAGGGAGGGGGGCCCAGCGCAGGTCCAAGAAATCCGCGCGGAGTGCCAAAAGTTTACGTTTATGTTTATTGTAGCGGCCTCCGGCCAGTGCCGCCGATCCGGGACGCTCCGGATGATGATGATGATGATGATGATGATGATGATGATGATGATGATGATGATGATGATGATGATGATAATGATGATGATGCTGATGCTGATGCTGATGCTGATGCTGATGCTGATGCTGATGCTGATGCTGATGCTGATGATGATGATGATGATGATGATGATGATGGTGGTGGTGGTGGTGGTGGTGGTGATGATGATGATGATGATGAGTGTGATGATGCTGATGATGATGATGCTGATGATGACGACGATGATGATGAAGATGATGATGCTGATTATGATGATTATGCTGCTGATGATGCTGATTATGATGATGATGCTGCTGATGATGATGATGATGATATGATGATGATGGTTATGATGATGATGATGAGGAGGAAGATGATGCTGATGCTGATGCTGATGCTGATGCTGCTGCTGCTGATGATGATGATGATGATGATGATGATGGTGATGGTGATGGTGATGGTGATGGAGATGGTGATGATCCCGGCCACCCCTCCCCACCTCCCCTCCTCTCTCTTGTCCCCCTCCCCCTCTCTCCTGCCCCCTCCCGCCTCTCTTCTTTCCCTCCCCCCCCTCTCTCTCCTGTTCCCCCCCCCCGTTCCCCCCCCCCCTCTCGCCTGCTACAATTACTCAAATATTGAATAACTACTCTCCTTCTTCCTGATGGGTGCGGGGGAGCGTGGCCGACACCCTCACGCGTACTGTTTTTTTACACACAGGATTCCCGGGAGTTGGGTTTTCGCCTGCGTTTTTTTCAAAATGCTGCTCTCGCTGAGGCGCCGGCTTCATTTCTGCTCCCGAATCGTTCCGAATCGTGCTCCCGCTGCAGCGTGGGCCTCATTTTCGGATCGGTGTTTGGCCTCCGTCGTTCAGGATGGCGTTTCTCGCCCCAGCGCGGGCCTCTTTCTCGCGCGCCCATCCGCCCGCCACCACCGCGCCGCACCACCACCACCACCACCACCACCACCACCACCACCACCACCACCACCACCGCCACCACAACCACGCGCACACGCACGCACGCACGCACGCGCACCACCACCCACTGCGCACGCGCGCGCGGAGCCACAGGTCCGCTACGACACGCGTCC